GGGGCCCCCCCCCCCCCCCCCCCCCCCGCAGCCACAGCTCCAGCTGGCTGTGAAGGAGGTGGAGACTGCAGACACAGCTTCAGCCTCCTGCCCCACCCTCTCTTCACTGCTCAAGCAGGGATCCCCCTCTTCTACAGCAGGGACCCCAGTGGCACGGACCCCAGCCACTGTCTGGCCACATCACCCCTATGCTAGCTAATGCTGAGAGGTGTCTGTGTGTCTCCAGTTTCACTGGACAAAGGCAGACAGAACACTTTGGGCTTTTTGGAAGTAATCAACAGTTCAGCTGGTAATGCCCCTCCATTCTTCCTTACAAATGCCTTGGAAAAAGCTGTTTAAGAAGAGCTTGAACTAATGAGAGAAGCTTTTGTTTTCTTGATGGGCTGATAAGCTCCCTGCTGGCTTCCTTGCTTGCTTCAAAGGCCTCAATCTGTCAGTGTTCAACAGAGGACAGAGAGAGGTGTGAGAAATGACCTGGTTTGCAATGCATGGGACCTATGAGTGCCCGTCAGTTTGCTGCAGACAGTATAAAGAAGCAGGGAGAGGGAGATTGAAAAGCTCGGTATCGGCAGCAGATGCATGCACGCCACACAAGCAGTCCTTCCTCCCCCCACCTCCCATTTGCCTCAGAGTGGTGGCTGGGGGCTGGCAACACTCCCCACCCCTTCAGCAGCAAGCCAAGAGCTGCTACCCCCTCCCACTTGAGGCACAACCCAGCTGAGGACTGTGCAGACAGGATGGGGGTTTAAACCACTCCCTAATCATAGGACTGAGCTGAGGAGGGAAGGGAGTGTGGCAGGTCCTTGCTGGTGCCTGGCCATACCCCGCTCCCACCTCAGCCCAGCATTGCGGAAGGGAAGGAACGATTTGCTCTAGTGCCTCAGGCTTCTAGTCTGAGCCACTGCAGACATGTGCCTGCATTTTCTGAATCAAAGGTAAATGTCTATCCACTTACAAATCAGTTCATTCTCTGCAGGTCAGACTAACCTACAAAGATTAAATCAATTCAGGCTTGGGCTTTTTGAATGTCTGTCCCTAGCCTTTAAGTTTGTTGCTTCCAAGCTTTGAGTATGTTAGTAGACCAGTTTTGGACACTCAGTTACACATTTTACAAGCATTTCTATTATTATGTAATTCAGTAATGGAATAGCTGGTGCTGAATGATATATTGGAGAAAGATTGTTGCATGTACGTGAAAAACCAATGGACTATAAAGAGATTAAGTTCTGTTGAGCTCATAATATTGTTAGGCGGTTGTCAGTGTCATTTACATTTCCATAGAAAAATAATATTTAGTGACTTTACATTAAAAGATACTTATTTATGCATTTCTAACATAGACTTCACTGATAGCACTAGTATGCTCAGTTGACACAATATAATTTTAGCTGTCCTTTAGAAAAAGAATTTAACTAGCAGTGTGAAGTTTTTTGGTGTCCTAAAAGACATCTTATGTCAAAGACCTTTGCCTGAATCAGAACAGGTAAGAACAGTGCCATCCCTGGGGGTAGGGAGAACAAATCTGCCCTGGGCCCTGCATTTTGGGGGGCCCCACAAAGCAAAGCCAGCTTCACATCTGGCCGTTCACTGCCACAACCCCTCCCTTCCCCGCTGCATCTGGGCCCCGCACAAGCTGATTTGCCCCAGGCCCTGCACCCTGCTACAGTCATTTCCTGGTAGGAACCAGCAAAAACAAATTCTTTTTAGGCGCTGTGGAAGGAGGGAAGATGTGAGTTGCTCTTCCTGTTGTTTCTGCGCTACATTAATCCTACTCCAGGGAAAAAAAGAAAAAACATAAAATGGGAGTATAAAGCATCCCATTAAAAAAATAAGTAAATCAGAGCAGCACTAATCAGTTAATGGAGGTGGAAGAATGTGATTACATAATAATTGCATAGCATTCCAACACTTGTCAGCCAGATGGGAGATGCTGATCTTCCTACATCTAAACAGAAGCCTACCTCCTTTTCACTGTCTTCTCTGTCATGAGTCTGTTTTGTTAATGCAAGTGTCCTTAAGTGGTTCTAAAATGTGTCTCAACATTTTAGCCTGTGTCCTCTGTCAACGGACAGATGACTGTCCTGAAAAATATGGAGAAAAGAGGATTTATGAGACCTATAATCTTGCAGTTCATTACTACTGTTTGGTAAGTATTTTACATTGATCCTGAACAGAATTTGAGGAGCTTTCCTATTTTTCTAACAATAAGTTAATTCAACAGCAGTAAACTTAGAACTATCTGTACAACGGAAGAAGAAAACACCACAATATGTGGTTACTCTGTTCAATAATAATATTGAATGGAATTAATGAATTAAACTATTTCTATTTACTTATTTATTATTTCCAATAAGGTATCACACAGGTGATTTTTATACCTATTCATACAAATTGTGGCTACTCTTTAAAAATAATATTAAGAAAAATTCCTATCTTTTTTCTCACCTCTAAATGTTCATCTATGTAAAAGGGAGATATAGTTTCAGAATGTTAGTATCTTAGATAGAATCAATGAGTCGGAAGGGACCTAGACAGATCATCGAGTCCGATCCCCTGCCATGGGCAGGAATGAGCACTGGGGGTGCAAGGGGTCATAAGACCCCAGCCAGGTGCCTATCCAGTCTCCTCTTGAAACCTTTATGACATTTTCCCCCTGCTGCTGCAGTGAATCCCCTTTACAAGCAATACCGATATACAATATTTCCTTGACTAATGTTATTCCTAGTCTTTTTAAGAGCTTAATGTTCCAGAATAGACAGGAACCAGCAAAACCAATTTCTTCATGTTAGGGCTTCGTGTTCCAGCTCTAAAGAATATGTTCTTGTTTCCAAATGGATACTGAGAGCTGTACACACAAGTTTCTTCTCCCAGAGCTTACCTTTTTAATAATAAAATTTTAAAAGCTGTGTATAGCTATGGTACAAAGCAGCCAGAACATTTTTAATATTTTTAGCTGTGATTAATACTTCCTGGAATTTGTGTTCCAGTTAGAAGCTGAAAAGTAGTCTACAGCTTTGCTTTATTATTGCCACCTTTTTCCCTTTTCTGAAGGCCCCATACATTGCTCTGGCAGCAGGCTATGGGGAAATAACTTAGTAAAAGATCTAATTAGGGACTGCACAATGTGTTATGCTACATAGCCCTGGCTTGAAGACTGAGAAGAGGCATGAGGTATAAATAGAATGTATGTACTATTGCTTTTGGTAGCACTAGTGAGGCTGTGTGCACAGTACTACAAAAATTTTATGTTCACATAGTCTGAGACCACTAGGTGGCAGAATCTTCTTTATTTTCCCATTAACATGATCTTGGATGTTACTTAAAAATGACCCTTTTCCATATTGTTGTAACCACCTTGAATTAGAATTGAATATAAAAATTAAACCCTACAGCTAAAAACCCAATGGTGGGTAGCAGTTCCCTTCATAGAAACAACTGATGGGACTGCAAGCCATTTATTATGATCTCATTGTGGTTTGGCATCTAGCAAGAAGTGCTCTACATAACAATCCTATGAAACGCGGATCTAACTATTTCTTGAAAATACTGTTGCAACTACTTTGCCCAGTTAGCTGTACTCAAAATTACCATCAAAATCCTGTGAACTGACAAGCTTCATTTGTCCTCTCTGAATTTTAAGCTATTACTTTTAAAATTTTCTTTGCCATTGTGAATAATGTTCCCTTTCCAGGAATCCTTCCCTTCAGACACTTAATATTTGCACGAGTTAATATGATCGAGGTTTGTTGGTTGTATTCTGCAGCTATTTACTTCTCTGATTTCTATAATAAGCTTCTAGTACAGAAACCAGTTAAAGGCTTTATTAAAATATGAATAAACTGTCTTGCATAAGTTCATCTTATCTATTTAATATGGAGAAATGTGAAGGAGAAAACAGTTATTTTGGTATGGTCTGTTCCTGAAACCTTTGTTGACTGTTACTCTATTGCTTGTATAGTTCAAAAGACTTATAACTTCTCTTTAGAAAAAAAACTAGAATCATTTGGTCAGTTACTAAAGTCATTTGTGCATTTAAATGACTTTTGTAAGTTCATAATCCCATATACAGCCCTTCAGTACTCTGGATCAGGGTTTCTCAACTGATGGGTCTTCCAGTTTTGCTTTTGTGCACTTCGATTGGGTGCTGGGGGACTTCCCCCCTGCCCACTCTTCAGCTGGCTTCTGGGGGACTGCCACTCATCAACTGGTGGGACCAGGATTTTTTGACCTTACACAGGTGGGACATAAGGTGCAAAAGGTTAAGAATCACTGCTCTAGATTACCATCCAAACAGATCTTAGGATACTAGATTTCTATAGTCGCTTAACAGCAAAGCAGTGTGGTGAGAAGAAAGGAAAGTCCATCTGCATTTTGAGTGGAGGAATCACGCACTGCCTTAACTTTTGACAAATTGATGTGCCAGGTTTCTCTGATCAACCAATATTTTACTACAAAGTTTAATGTGTATAATTAGTCGAATGTCTTGATTATTAAACTTTACTGTATTTATAGTTAATGTCCAGTGGAATTTGGCAGAGGGGTGAAGAAGATGAAGGATTTTATGGCTTTTTAATCAATGACATAAGAAAAGAAGTAAACAGAGCTGCAAAACTGGTAAGAATCAAATTATGGTATCATAAGTGATTATCACTCTGTCACATAGCTTTATTCTGTCATGGCATAAATGGTTTGCAGTGATTCTTGTTTTAAAAACAATCATTTTTGTCTTCACAAATGGAAAATAACAAAAGCAAAATTTTTCTGTAGTACTTATTGCCCTCATTTATAGTGTCATATTATGGTATCATGGTATTGGAGGCAGTTGTAGTCCACTTTCAAGTATCTGTTTGTTTGTTTATTTGGGTGTTAATGTTTGTATATTTTGGTCCCAAAGTAGCAAGACTTCTTTTTGGGTAAATGAAGGAGGAATAGAAATAAAAAAGCCAAAAATGTGTAGGATAAAATGCAAAGGATTGTAGAAATTCATACAGCCCAATATTTTGAGAATGAAACAAAATGCTGAATGCTTTCATAAGTCAACTGATCGTTAACAGATTATAAGAACTGGTTATATATAAAAAAAATTCGTATTTCCAAAGTGATTATGTTTAGTCACATTGATTGATTGATTTTTTTTTTTTTTATATATAAGTAACATTTTTAACAATGTATTTTGCCTGTGTATAGACCTGGGATGTTGCGGTATACAATGAATGCAGTCTAACTTGTTAATCAGAGGTTACTTAGCTCTCAAACTTCTGTTTCTTAATTCCCTGAAAAGTGCACAAAGCATAAATAAAACTAGCTAGACAGTTTGCTCCAGTGATTCAGTTTAATACCATTTCCTTTCCTGTTCTCTTTATGCAAGATTACTTTGGTTAATCTTCATTCCTACAACTTTAATTGTGCTACTGTCTTAATATGCTATCATTTCTAACATTTTCTCTTAGAAATGTAATATCTGTAAGAAAAAAGGTGCTTCAGTTGGATGTGTAATGCCCAAATGCAAGCGAAGTTATCATTTTCCTTGTGGGGTTCAAAGAGAATGCATTTTCCAATTCATGGAAAACTTCAGGTAAGATTTTTTTTTTTTTTTTTTTTTTGCTCATCAAGTTATAGTTGCAGTCTTTACTGAATGGGAGGTAAACTTTTTAAAATACATCTGCTGTTCTATTCAGGCTTTATTTGGAAGAGAAGGAATTGGACATTTATAAGTAGCCTCCTAAATATATATATATTTACTAGCTAATTGCCTGTCAAGAATGATGGATTTCAGGGAGTGTTTACATGCTGCTTCAGCAGCCAGGGTGCGTTCGCTGCTGCCTGAAACTTCCCCAGCAGTGACTCAAACTTGGGCCCGCGCAGCCAATCGCCACGGGCCCAATTTTCTTATCTAATTCTATATATATATAGAGAGAGAGAGATGTATATATAGAATTAAATAAGAAAATAGCAAATTTATTTCCTCAAAGTTGGAGAAGTTCACATTTTCTGATAAACATTTTTATCCATTTTTGTCATGTGCTACATTCTGGCTCACATGCAAGCCAAATAAATGTAACCGTAAAGGGATGAAACTACTCTTGCTTGAACCAAGAGGCAAAAAATGGAGCATCTGACAACTGTGCCATGGGCATTATTGCATCAAACATATGGTATATGGGAAATAATTCATCAGTATCTTAGAGCAGTGGTTTCCAAAGTGGGGTGCGCAAGACAATCCATTGGGGTGCAGGAAGAAAATATTAGAGCTTATAATTATATAAATATACATATATTGAGGGTGCATGCTCAAAAAGTTTTTACTGATGGGGTGTGCGAATATAAATACGCGTATATTGGGGGTGCATGCTCAAAAAATTTTTACTAATAGGGGTGCGCGATCAAAAAAGTTTGGAGACCACTGTCTTTGAGTGTTAATGTTTTCACAAAATGCAGTCATTTTCTACATAAAATTGCTATGTGGATGTTTGAACTGAATGTAACGCGCTTAAACTCTGAAACCTAGCTGTGACTCAGTATATAAATTTATTCAGTTTTATAAGTAAAATGTACATTTCCTCCTTGTCCCCCTGACCTGCCAGTCCTTCCAACTCAACCTGGGACCTAGGAAGTAGAGATGAATTCTTCCCTTCTGTGCATCCTTGGAAAGATTAACTTCAGCTGTATCTTGACAATATATATCCAGGCCTCTTTTGACAGTGTGAGAAAATGAAAGAACAGTTTGAGTCCTCATATCCCAGGCAGAGTTTGCAAGTCTAGCAATTAGGGAACAGGGAGAGAATCTCTTAACTTTTGTTATCCTTTGACCCGTAGCATGTACAAGCACCCCCATGCCATTTTTAAGTTTCAATTTTTAGTGTGAATGGAGATTAAAGTGCCACCACGTCTCCTGTATCAGTATTCCTGTGCTTAAAGATGGTGGTAAGGGCACTTGAACTAAAGGTCGTTTGAGCATTGCCACTGATGTTTTTAAGCATGGGAAAGCTGATAAACAAGACAGGCGGCTGCTGGAGCATGGCAATTGCCACACTCCAGCAGACTCTATTAATTGAGTCTGTTCCAATGTGCTGGAATTCCAGAGCATCAGACCAACCTTGGCACTCACGTATAGGTGCCCAGAGGTACTAGATTTAATGTGCATTAGCTAAAGCATGTTAATGCACATGTAGATGCACCCAGGGTGTTGTATTCATCATAAAAAATAGTGACTGTTCTTAAAATTCACTATTAAGCAGACTTTTAATTTTCTATTTAAGGTCATATTGTTGGGATCACAGGCCAGTCCAAAAACTTCCACCTGGTGAATCTAGAGGCTCTTCACAGTGTACTATATGCTTGGAATTCGTTGAACATCTTCCGCAGTACAATATATTGAAAAGTCCCTGCTGTAAAAATGCTTGGTTTCATAGAGACTGCTTGCAGGTAAAGCAAACTTTGAGTTACCTCCCTCAGTGCCACCCCCTATCTTCCCCTCCCCCCCCCGCCTCCACAAAATTAATATCATTTGTATTGTATTTATGTTCTTATTTAAAAGACAATAAATGTAATAAAGGCACAGCAAAAATAAGAGTATAACAGATGTTATCAGGTTTCTGTTGACAGCAGGCACAGAACAGACTAATCTGTCCATGTCTTCAGAATTCTAAATAAAACTAACTAAAAAAAGTTTTAAAAATACAAGTGTTTTAGGGAGTTTAAGATTAAGAAAAGATACTTTTTTAGGCATCATCTTTGACATGCATCCCTTTCAGAAGTCTGTATACCTTTGTTCATCTTTAGGGATATTGAAGAAAGAATGATCTGTTACCCCATAAGTGCCTTATTGTAGTGCCCTACATTCAGAAGCCAGCTCATAAGTCACTTCTGTTCCTCTGTTTTCCATGTTTGAATATGAGTATAAGAATCTTTCCAAATACAAAGTGAATTTAGAGCAGTGGGGCACATAATTAAAAGGAAGTAATGTGTTTTCACACTGGAGAAGGCATTGTGAACTTATTTGATGATAGATCACACCTACTATATTTCTCAAATTTAAGATAACCACCCAATAATTTTCCATTTATAAAATCTAATTATTGGAGGGTCATCTTTTAATTCATCTCTCCCACCACTGCAAAGAAACAAGCAGTGTGGGGGGAGGAGGGAGAAGGTGGTGTGGGGAGGTCAACCAGTTTATCTCCTGCTTGTGCTTGCCCCTGCTTTAACTTTGCTCCATATAAGCAGGCTCTGTCTCTGTTCTTGGGGCACTTAACATGACCCCAGCCCAGTCCTATAGTAGCTGTGTAGGCTGTGCATTGCTGCTACATGGCTGGGTTGGTGCTGTGCTCAGTGCCTAGGCTGCAATGTGGACAGAGCCTGCTTATGCAGAGCAAGGGTAAGGTAGGGAGGGAAGTGGACAGGCAGAGGAGCAGAGGCTGTTTGAGAGAGGGGAGGGAGGCTGCAGGGGGGAGATGGAGTGGGGAAGGTTACAGCTGTGGATATGGCCGCAATCCCAAGTAGGGGCTGGAGTCCGAGCCACAGCAGCCACCTGTTCCCCTACCACCCTTATACTTGAGTCAAAGACAAGGAGTGGTTTTTCCTCATGTTAAATGAGAGAAAAAAATCTTGTCTTGGAATTGAGTAAATACAGTACTCAATCTTGTGAAAAGATATGCTAGGTCAGTTTCCTGTAATTTCAGATTGGATGAATCAAGGATGACCAAGGCATTAAAGAAGCTTGTGTTCAGAATGTAGGGCCCAAGTGTTCAGTGTGTGCCAATGTCTTATTGAGACCAAAAGAATGAAAACATAAATGTCAGTAGTCTAATCAGTTTTTTGTTTCTTTGTCCTGGTGCAGTATCAAGCTTTGAGTGCTGGAGTATTTTTCTTTAGGTGTACTGTATGTAACAATAAAGATAAATTTCAGAAGGAAATGTTGAGACTGGGAATACACATTCCAGAAAAGTAAGTGACTTTCTAAAATGATGTATATAAATAATTTCTGTTTCATAAATCTTTATAGTTTCATAGTTTCTAGGGTCGGAAGAGACCTGAGCAGATCATCAAGTCCGACCCCCTGCCATGGCAGGAAAGAGTACTGGGGTCAAACGACCCCAGCAAGGTGTACATCTAGCCTCCTCTTAAAGACCCCCAAGGTAGGAGCCAGCACCACTTCCCTTGGAAGTTGGTTCCAGATCCTAGCCGCCCTGAACATGAAGTAGTGCTTCCTGATATCTAGCCTAAATCTACCCTCTGCCAGCTTGTGACCGTTATTCCTGGTCACTCCTGGTAGTGCTCATGGGAACAGGGACTTCCCCAGTGCCTGCTGATCCCCCCTAACTAGTTTGTAACAGGCCACTAAACCACCCTCAGCCTTCTCTTGTGGAGGCTGAACAGGTTCAGGTCCCGTAGCCTCTCTTCATAGGGCCTGCCCTGCTGCCCCCTGATCATGCGAGTGACCCTCCTCTGGACCCTCTCCATGTTGTCCACATCCCTCTTGAAGTGCACCGCCCAGTGCCGCATAGAGGGGAGTATCACCTCGTTGGACCTGCTTGAGATGCATCTGTGGATGCATGACAAGGTGCAGTTGATCTTCCTGACTGCATCCCAACACTGCCGGCCCGTGTTCATCTTGGAGTCAATGATGACTCCAAGATCCTTTTCTGCCTCTACACTGACGAGAAGGGAGTTCCCCAAACTGTAGGTATGGTGCCTGTTGTTCCTCCCCAGGTGCATCACTTCGCACTTGT